ACGTCTGCCAGACGGAAGCGCCAAAGCAGCAAGTTGTCAGCAAGCGTCCAAACCGAACGCACAAGAGGCTACAGAAGTTTACCGATTTCTTCGTCTGCTCTCCGCACGTCAGCACACGTCAAAATACGACGTCAGTGACAGCTGGTACAGGCGGTCGCCCATCCACAGCCCGAGTCAGGAGGATGTGTGCGCCCTTTTTCTGGCCTTCTGTGGCAAGAGACCCGCGGGAAAGCGAACTCTCAGATGATGTCCTCTCCGTGGACTCAGTGGGAATGCTGTTTACTACGTCTGCAAACAGAAGAGAGGATCGTAGTCTGTCTTGCAGTTCGCAAACTAAGCCACTACATGCTGAGGCCTCAGTTCAACGTGGCGAACCATTTATTCTAAAGCCCAAAAGCCGACACAAACCAGGAAACCTCCCCCTTCCCGAGAAATCTGACGTAAGTCTCACCTACTTTGCAGGTATACATTTCAGTTTCAAAAGTGTCCATTAAAAAATGCAATTGACAGTTTGGCGAACATAAGAGTGCATTCGGTAGATTTGCTCCGGACTTGTACAGTAATACTGAATTTAAAGAGTCGAGCATGTCGACAGTAAGTGGTATAATCAGGGTGTGGGAAGGAGGAGAAAAACAAATTGCGCTCAAAATCTTCCGATCACGGTCAGAGATAATGGTGGGTATCGGGGTAGCCTGGGACCTTTTTGGTTAAGGTAACTGTGAGGCCTCTGGTGCGTAACCCTATTGCAGCCACTTGTTAGCTCTCTAACAAACGGAATCCAATGCAGTTGGGGTAGCCTGAGCAGATTCTGTTAATCACCCGAAGGTTTCCCTTGCATCATCTTGGTTGTCTGTTCAAAAGACGAAGAAGTGATCACTGGAACAAGAGTTTTATTGTCCTGACGTTTCAGATTCCGTCTGGAATCCTTAGTCATAGGTTATCGTAAACAAGTCTGAGACATGCACAGATAAGGGTCTACTGGTTGTCTGTGTCTTCCAGAGCGCGAACAAGGTGGCAAAGTTCTTTAGCTGGCCTATCCTAACCCTGCCGGAAGGTGTTCTCTCCTTTTAGACAGACGCCGGCCCGTGCGAACAGTATATTCTGCCCCGGAGGAACAGGTAAATAAGTAAATAGGCATAGAGGTAAGTTAGGCTGGCAGTTTTCGATAAACCCCTAGCTCCCACGCCCACATTAGGGGAAACTAGTGGATAAAAGCAAGCGACGTCAACTGCAGGAAACGTATTTAATACAACTTAGTTTAGGCACCTTCTAATACGTTCCGACTTAGCCCGCATTTACTTGTCAAACGATTATTACCCTTTAGAGTAACAATTACTCGTTGTCTATTATATTCCTAACTCACTCCGAAAAATGAAATACAACGCTCTGTGTTAAAAGGATTATCCAGATGTAGAGAAGAAAAAACTCTTGGTCTATTTTGGACAAAATGTCAAGAGTTAAAAAATGCTATTTGTTTTGACGTTAGTCCTAAAATAAAAAGTAGGTGTTACACAAGAGGATAGAGGTGTACACAGCAAAAACAGAAAACATTTTATGAAAATTTTACAAATGAACGCCCGGAGTTATGGAGGAACCTGACTCGAAAACTTTGTCAATTCAGCTGTCCTGCTATGTAGACTACTTTATTTGTGATTAGCTCGTTACTGGGTCCCCTGTGCATACCTGCTTATCTAGGCATGTGGCGTTGGATCGGTTCCCGAAAAAAAAATTATTTTTTAGTTATCTGTGCATCCGACGTAGTAGGCGTACTTGAATGTTTTACAGCAAAATTTGTCTTATGAGAATGGCAGCTGAGCGATTTCTCTTCTCTGCCTTGATAAAACGGATGAACCGGGTAGGGGACTTTCAATTGCTTATGGGTGTTTTCTGTGTCTAATATTCCTTGCTGACAGTCTGCACATCATTTTACACGTCGCACAACTATCCAAAGCGATGCGGATAATATCCATTTTAGGTTTGAGTCTTCTCCGGACGCCTTACTAGGTTCTTCGACCGTAATACAATTTCCTCCACCTGTGCATTGACTCTTGAAGAAGCAGATTGATGCCATTTTCGCATATCATGCAACTCCACACAAACGCATTTCGTTTCCTAAAAAAATTGCGTTTGAGTACCCTGACAGCACGGATTTATTTAAATTCGCTGGCCTTGCCTTCTGCACATTAATGTTTTATTCGCCACCTTTTTTCAGGACTCAGATGGCCAGTGGCTTGGTTTCGCTCCAAACCCACGGTGTACTAATTGTGCTGGACAATCGTCAGCACGGCCAACGGGTCTGGGCTTGTCATCGAA